TGAAAAGGAAATTAAGAAAACAGTTGTTTGCATTAGCATCAGGCATTAAAACAAAATACCTAGGAGTACATTTAACCAAGGAGGCAAAAGACATGTATACTGAAAACTATAGAATGTTACTGAAAGAAACTAAAGATGACATCAGTACATGAAAGGACATACTGTGTTATTGGATTGGAAGACTTATGTTGTTAAACTGTTCATACTACACGAAGCAATCTACAGACTTAATGCAATTGCTATCAAAATCCTAATGGTGGCTGGGTGTAGCAGCTCATGCCTGTAATCTCAGAATTTTGGGAGGCCAAGGTGGGAGGATCGCATGAGATCAGCAGTTTGAGACCAGCCTCAGCAATAAATCGAGATCTCATCTCTACAAATAAAAATAAAAAATATTTTAAAAATCTTAATGGCATTTTTTGCGGGAAAAAACCAACCCATCCTAAAATTCATATGAAATCTCAAGGGACCCTGAAGAGTGAAAATAATCTTGCTAAAGAAGAATGTTGGAAGAAGAAAGGTTGTAAGTTTCATCCTTTCTAATTTTAAAACTTATTACAAATCTATAGTAATCAAAACAATGTGGTACTGGCATAAAGACAAACATATAAACTAATACACAAAATAGAGAGTTCAGATATAAATCCTCCCATGTGTGGTCAAATGATGTTTGTCAAGGGTGCAAGGACCACTCCATGGAGAAAGGACAGTTTTGTTTCTTTACCCCAGCAAATGGTGCTGGAATTAGATATCCACATGCAAAAGAATGAAGTCTAATCTTTACTTTATACCGTATGTAAAAATCAAATGGATTAAAGACCATGGATTAGACTGAAAACTATAGAACTCCTAGAAGAAAACATAGAGGGAACAATTTCTTGACATTGGATGTAGCAATGATTTCTTGGATATGATACCAAAAACACTGGAAACTAAAGTAAAAATACACAAGTCGGACTACCTCAAAAGTTAAAACTTATGTGCATCAGAGAACACAATTAATAGAGTGAAAAGGCAACCTATGGAATGTGAAAATATATTTGCAAATCATATGTCTGATGAGGAGTTAATATCCTGAATACATAAGGAATTCCTACAAGTCAACAACAAAACACAATCTGATTTAAAAATGGGCAAAGGACTTGAATAGACATTTCTTCGAAGATATATATTTGACAAATAAGCACATGAAAAGAGGCTCAAACATCATTAATCTTAGGAAAATGCAAATCAAAATCATGAGATACCACCTTACACCCATGAGGATGGTTACTATGCAAACAAAATAAAATTATAAGTGGTGTTGAGGTGTGGAGAAATTGGGACCCTTTTGCACTATTGGTGGGAATGCAAAATAATGCAACTGCTATGGAAAACAATAAGGAGTTTCCTCAAAGAATGAAAACTAGTACTACTATATGATTTAGCAATCACACTTCTGGGTATATAACCAAAAGAATTGAGCACAGGGTCTCAGAGAGATATCAGTACACCCATGTTCACAGCAGCGTTATTCTCAATAACTAAGAAGTGGAAGCAACCCGGTGTCCTTGAATGAACAAACAAAATGTGGTTCATACATTCAATGAAATATTCAGCCTTAAAAAGAAAGGAAATTTTGACACATGCTACAACATGGATAAACCCTGAGGACAGTATTTCAAGTGAAATAAGCCACAAAGAGACAAATATGATTCCCTTTTTTTGAGGTATTTAGAGTAGTCATATTCATAGTCACAGAAAGTAGAATGATGGTTGCCAAGGGAGAGGGGCAGTGGGGTTGTGGAGTTGTTTAATGTGTATAGAGTTTCAGTTTTGCAAGGTAAAAATGTTTTGGAGATTGGTTGCAAAACGTGAATTTCCTTAATGCTACTGAACTGTATACTTAAAAATGGTTAAGACAAGTACATTTTGTTACATGCATTTTACCGCAATTTATTTTAATGCCAAAAAAACCCCTCAAGCTCAAAAAACAAACCAAGAAAGACTAACACATGTACTGTTTGTGGTGGATTGCAGCCAGAGAGGGAGGTGAAAACCAGTGGGCAGTGATGGAGGGTTGCAACTCCCATGAGAGAAGCATGTTTGAGGCATTTATACACATCGAATAAACCCAAATGCCAAATGATCTCTCACGTGTAATCCATAAAATCTCCTAGGACACTAGAGATCAAGTTGCTAGTCAGCACTGAGATTGTACAAGTGCAAAACGTAAGGAGAAACTTGACTTTGCCCTTGAACTCCTGCTTGTCAAGTTCATTTCTCTGAAACCCTAGAGCTATAACATGCTGAAGAGCTAACAAGCTTTAAAAGTAGTTATTTTTCTATCATTACCAAAAATAGACAATTTGCCTTTAAATTCTATTTGAGTTCACGGCTTCCCCAAGGATCAAATAGACAAGATGAGGCCAAAGAGCTCTTTCTGTTCCAGGAAGCACAGGACGGGGAAGGCAGGGTTGTGGTCTTGCCTGGGCCTGAGTGGACTCACTCACTACTTGCAGCAGACACTGAACGTGCTTTCTGGCCTTGACCTCCCCAAAGCCCACAAGGTGTTTGCTGTGGCCTGGACCTTGGGGTAGGTACTGCTAATAGATTGTTACTGGCATTTGGTAACTGCCTATTTTTAGTACTTATTTTCAAATTAAAAAATATTTGAAGCCTTTCATTCTGAATCCTGTCCAGCCTACACTAGTTGGTTTAAATAATACAACATCCTCCTAAGTTTCCAGGGCACAGAATCAGGGGTCTGGGCTTCTGATGAGCAAAAGATTTGAGGCTGCAGGCATTTCCCCCTCCAGCCAGGCCTCTTTTCTGCGTCTGCCTCTCTGAGACCTATGTAAATGACTGTCCCCTTTGAGACAACAGAGATAAGCACTGGCAGCAGGTGACCTACCAGACTTAACCCCAGTCCACCATTTTGTCCTACAAGAGTTCCCATGTTTCCCTGTCTTATAACAACTCCCAAATCCATTTCTTTGGGCAACTATTGCTTCCCCAATGTGTGGGGTTTTGGTGGGCCTGCAAGTCACAGTAAGCATTTCTCTCCTCCCCACAGGTGTGTACATGAGAGCGGGCCAGGGTGGGGTCTTCCCTGGAATTTCCAGGGCGGGGTCAGTTCCTGTATAACCCCAGACATTCCACATAACTATAGCCCAGCACGTGAAGAAAATCTGTTGGCAGTGGGGAAGGATGAGGCCGACAGACGGCTGAAATGACAAGTGGAGAGCAGGAAGGAGAGCTCAAGTGCCCTGGAGGTGTTGCATCCTGACCCTTGGGTGTTCCAGGGAATACCCAGTTATTAGCTCTTTGGCTTTGAGCAAGATATTTATCCTCTCCAACCATCTGTTCCATAATCTATGAAACTGTGAGACTAAAAGCTCTTTTTAGGATGGTTGTGAGAATGAGGTCACATAAGCAAAGCCCATGCCCATCACAGGACTTGCATTTACTCAGCTCCTCCTGTGCCGGAACTTGCTGAGCTCCCTTCCCTCCTCCCCTGTTAGGTTGGGGCTATAAAGTAGAAATCTGGAACTAATAAAAGTCTAATGGTCAGGTGTGGGGGCTCACACCTGTAATCCCAGCACTTTGGGAGGCTGAGGCGAGTGGATCACGAGGTCAGGAGATCAAGACCATCCCGGCCAACATGGTGAAACCTCGTCTCTACTAAAAATACAAAAATTAGCCAGGTGTGGTGGCAGGCGCCTGTAGTCCCAGCTGGTCAGGAGGCTGAGGCGGGAGAATCGCTTGAACCTGGGAGGCAGAGTTTGCAGTGAGCCAAGATTGCCCCACTGCACTCCAGCCTGGGTGACAGTGAGAGACTCCTTCTCAAAAAAATAAAAATAAAAATAAAAAAAGTCTACTGAATAAACCAATAATTGAACCTATTCTGGAAGTTTTACTTTGTGGGTTTTTTGTTTTTTTTTTTAAAGGAAAATAGAGATTGTAATTATGTGAGCATTTTTAGCACCTGTTTCATCAGAAGCCTATGCTGCTGATTTTGTCTTTCACTAGTCCTTGCAAATCTCCCATTTTTATGAAAACCAAGGGCCTGAGTAACTTTCGCAAGAACAGCCTTGAGCTAGACTGAAGTGCTGCCTGCCCTCAGGTTATTCATTATGTCTGAGAGCTGCCAGAGGTGACTGGGAGACAAGAGAGAAAATCTCTACTGAGTTCACAAACTGCCAAGCAGAAAGACGAGGGTGCCAATGTAAGGCAGGACAAAGAATTGCCCTGCGTTCCAGATTCTGAGCCAAGGAGATCACTAAGAGGTTTGTTTAATCCTAGGCTGTGTTTGCCTCTCACTGACTTCTCGGCTTGGCTGCACTGGGCTGCCCCCTTCCTCAGCGCCTGGAAGGCTAGGAAAGTCCCATGCCCGTGTCACAGGGTTTGGCACATGGTGCTTTCCACATGCGATGCTACATCAAGATTTGTGTCTGAGGTTTCAACTGAAAACATCAAATTGCTTTTCTGGAGCCATTCATGGTCTGCTCATCCACTATTAAGTCCCTGCCATATGCGCTGCACAGCACGTATGCTCTCTATAAAACACCAGGTATCATCTTAGTGCCCTCAAGCAAACAAAGACCCCGTGTGTTATGGTTTATAGAGCCGTGCAGAATTCCTGCTGCCTAAGGAACAAACACGGCCCAGTCTTGAGGTCTTGAGTAGTTGCTGAAAAACCTGAGCTTTTAACATGGTCTCCTTTAGCATCTCCAATTCTTATTATGGTCAGGTTCTCACATACCTGCTTTTTTAACAAGACCTCACTGAAGGCAACAATTTCTGCTGGCATAGCATGTTGGGCACAGGTGGTCTCAATTATTGTTTATCCCAAGTATGCATGCAAATGTGAAAAGAGAAAAGTACATCGGGCAATTGAGTCTGATTTTCATTTTTCAGCTGTCTGTCCAAGTCTATATAAGGTAATTCTTAATGTACACTTGATTTCCATAATGTTTCCTTCGATTTTCCCACCTGCTGTTGGCTTTGAACAACCTTACCTGAGCTGAGAATGGCTGCTTCCCTGGCAAGAAGTTTCTAGAACGTGTTTGCTGGGCCAAAGCTTGGACACCTGATCTCTTCAGAGATCTTGTGGATAGACTGATAGAGAAGAAAGAAAATAACTCATGCAGCAATGTATATGGATAAAACAGACGAAGAGGTGCTACAATAATCAAAAGGGATAAAGTAAAAAATACAGAAGAGTCGAATCGATTCTGCATCATTGTAAATCAAGTCACATACTTGATTTTAACATGAATTTTACAGAGATCGAAAACCTTTTTGATCCAAAGCCAAAGCGTCAGGAGATCTTTATTTTTTTAACTGAAGTAAAATATACACAACATAAAATTTACCATGTTAACCCTTTTTTTTTTTTTCCTTTTTGAGACTCTGTTGCCCTGGTTGGCATGCAGTGATGGGATCATAGCTCACTGCAGCCTCTAACTCCAGGGCTCAAGTGATTCTCTCACTTCAGCCACCCAAGTAGCTGGGACTACAGGTGCTCGTCACCATGCTCAGTTAAATTAAAACAGTTTTTATTTGTAGAGACAGGAGTCTTGCTCTGTTGCCAGGCAGGTCTTCAACTCCTGGGCTCAAGCAATTCTCTTGCCTCAGCCTCCCAAAGTGCTGGGATTATAGGCATAAGCCATCATGCCTGGTCTGTCTTAACATTTTTTTTTTTTTTGGAGACAGATTCTCCCTCTGTCACCCAGGCTAGAGCACAGTAGCATGATCTCGGCTCACTGTAACCTCCGCCTCCCATGTTCAAGTAATTCTCGTATCTCAGCCTCCTGAGTAGCTGGGACTATAGGCGCACGCCACCATACCCAGCCAAGTTTTGTATTTTCAGTAGGGACAGGATTTCACCATGTTGCACAGGCTGGTCTTGGCCTCAAGTGATTCACCCCCATGGCCTTCCAAAGTACTAGGATTACAGGTATGAGCCACCATGCCCAGAAGTCTTAACCATTTTTAAGAGTACATATCAGTAAAGTACTTTCACATTGTTGTACAACCACATTCACATTGTTGAACATTTTCATCTTGCAAAACTATACCTAATTAAATAACTCCCCATTTCCCCCTACCCCTGGCAACCACCATTCTACTTTATCTATGAATTTGACTACTCTAAGTACCTCATAAATTCATATATATGCTCTCATGTATCCACATATATGTGGAATCATACAATAGTTGTCTTTCAGTGACTGGCTTATTTTCCTTGGCATGTTTGTTCTCAAGGTTCATCTATTTTGTCTTTATTAAAATACCAATGACATTCTTCACAGAAATAGAAAAAAAAAATCCTAAAATTTATATGGAACCACAAAAGACCCAGCATAGCCAAAGCTATCCTAAGCAAAAAGAACAAAACTGGAGGAATCACATTACCTGACTTCAAATTATACTATGGAGGTATAGTAACCAAAAGAACATGGTACTGGCATAAAAACAGACAAAGACCAATGGAACAGAATAGAGAACACAGAAAGAAGTCCATGTACCTACAGTGAACTCATTTTCAACAAAGGTGCCAAGAACATACACTGAAGACAGTCTCTTCAATAAATGGTGCTGGGAAAACTGGATTTCCATATTTGGAAGAATGAAATTAGACACCTATCTCTCACCATATAAAAAAATCAAATCAAAATGGATTAAGGATTTAAAACTAAGACTTCAAACTATGAAAACGACTATAAGAAAACATTTAGGAAAATCTCCAGGACATTGGTCTAGACAAAAATTTCACAAGCAACACCCTACAAGCACAGGCAACCAAAGCAAAAATGGACAAATGGGGCCGGGCACAGTGGCTCACGCCTGTAATCCCAACACTTTGGGAGGCCGAGACGGGTGGATCACGAGGTGAAGAGATTGAAACCATCCTGGCCAACGTGGTGAAACCCTGTCTCTACTAAAAACACAAAAACTAGCTGGGCATGGTGGCAGGCGCCTGTAGTCCCAGCTACTCTGGAGGCTGAGGCAGGAGGATCACTTGAACCAAGGAGGTGGAGCTTGCAGTGAGCCGAGATCACGCCACTGCACTCCAGTCTGGCAACTGAAAGAGACTCTGTCTCAATAAACAAACAAACAAACAAACAAACAAATAAATAAATAAAATGGACAAATGAAATCACATCAAGTTAAAAATCTTCTGCACTGCAAAAGAAACAATCAATAAAGTGAAGAGGCAACCCACAAAATGGGAGAAAATATTTGTAAACTACCCATCTGACAAGGGATTAATAACCAGAACATATAAGAAGCTCAAATGACTGCATTGGAAAAAATCTAATAATACAATCAAAAAATGGGCAAAAGATTTGAATAGAAATTTCTCAAAAGAAGACACACAAATAGCAACAAATCAAAACTACAATGAGAAATCATCTCACCCTCAGTTAGGTTTATATCCAAAAGACAGTCTATAACAAATGCCAAGAATGTGGAAGAAAGGGAAACCTTGTACACTGTTGGTGAGAATATAAATCAGTGCAACCACTAGGGAGAACTATTGGAGGTTCCTCAAAAAACTAAAAATAGAGCTACCATATGATCCAACAATCCCACTGCTGGATATATATACCCAAAAGAAAGGAAAGATATTTGCACTCTCATGTTTGTTGCAGCACTGCTCATAAAAGCTAAGATTTGAAAGCAACCTAAGTGTCCATCAACAGATGAATGGATAAAGAAAACGTAGTACAGGCCAGGCACGGTGGCTCACGCCTGTAATCCCAGCACTTCGGGAGGCTGAGGCAGGCAGATTGCTTGAGCTCAGGAGTTTGAGACTATCCTGGGCAACATGACAAAAACCCCGTCTCTCCTAAAAACACAAAAATTAGCTGGGCATGGTGGCGCTCACCTGTGGTCCCAGCTACTTGGGGGACTGAAGTGGGAGGATCACTTGAGCCCAGGAGGTGGAAGTTGCAGTGAGCCGAGACTGTGCCACTGCACTCCAGCCTGGGTGACAGAGACTCTGCCTCAAACAAACAAACAAACAAAGTGGTACATATACACAATGGAATACGATTCGGCTATAAAAAAGAATGGGATCCTGCGTGTCATTTGCAAAAACATGGATGGAACTGGAGATCATTAAGTTAAGTGAAATAAGCCAGGCACAGAAAGACAAACATCGCATGTTCTCACTTATTTATGTGATCTAAAAATAAAAACAATTGAATTCATGGATATAGAGAGTAGAAGCATGGTTACCAGAGGCTGGGAAGGGTAGTGGGGGGTTAGGGGGAGGTGGGGATGATTAATGGTACAAAAACATAGTTAGAATGAGTAAGACTTACTATTTGACAGCACAATAGGGTAACTACAGTCAATGGTATACATTTTTAAATAAAAGAGTGTAATTAGATTGTTTGTAATACAAAAGATAAACAAATGTTTGAGGGGATGGATGCTCCATTCTCCCTCTGATTATTTCATGTTGCATGCCTGTATCAAAACATCTCATGTACCCCATAAATATATATACCCTATGTACCCACAAAAGTTAAAAGTTAAAAAAATCAGCCGGGTGCAGTGGCTCACACCTGTAATCCCAGCACTTTGGGAGGCCGAGGTGAGCAGATCACCTGAGGTCAGGAGTTTGAGACCAGTCTGGCCAACATGGCAAAACCCCTTCTCTACTAAAAATATAAAAATTAGCTGGGCCTGGTGGCACGTGCCTGTAATTACAGCTACTCAGGGAGACTGAGGCAGAAGAATCAGTTGAACCCAGGAGGTGGAGGTTGCAGTGAGCTGAGATCGTGCCACCGCACTCCAGCCTGGGCGACAGAACGAGATTACATCTCAAAAAAAAAATTAAAAATTAAAACGATTGGCTGGGCATGGTGGCTCACACCTGTAATCCCAGCACTTTGGGAGGCCAAGGTGGGTGGATCACCTGAGGTCAGGAGTTCAAGACCAGCCTGGCCAACATGGAGAAACCCCGTCTCTACTAAAAATAAAAAAATTAGCCAGTCATGGTGGCGCATGCCTGTAATCCCAGCTACTTGGGAGGCTCAGGAGAATCACTTGAACCCAAGAGGCGGAGGTTGTAGTGAGCCAAGATCATGCCACTGCACTCCAGCCTGGGCAACAAGAGCGAAACTCCGTCTCAAAAAAAAAAAAAAAAAAAAATTAAAACAATTGTAAAATGATTCATCCATTTTATAGTATGTCAGAATTTCTTTCCAAGGTTAATAATGTTTCATTGTGTGCATCCCACATTTTATCCATTCATCCACTGACGGCCACTTGGGTTGCTTCTGCCTTGGCTATTGCTGATAACACTGCTATGAGCAAGGGTGTACAAACACCTCTTTGAGACCCTACTCTCAATTCTTTTGCATATCTATCTATATATATGTACATATATATACACACACACACACACATATATATGTACCCAGAAGTGGAAATGCTGGATCATATGGTAATACCATGTTTAATATTTTGAGGAACTTAACATATTATTTTCCACAGCAGTTACATTACTTACATTCCCACCAACAGTGTACATGACCTCTAATATCTCCACATGCTCGCCAACAATGGTTATTTTCAATCTTTTTGACAGTAACCATCCTCATGGGTTTGAGGTGGTATTTTGTTGTGATTTTGACTTGTATTTCCCTAATGATGAGTGACACTGAACTGCTTTTCATGTGCTTACTGGCCAACTATATCTTCTTTGGAGAAATATCTATTCAAATCTCTCCCTCTTTTTTTTTCAAAGACAGGGTATCATTCTGTCACCCAGGCTGGAGTGCAGTGGCACAATCTGGGCTCACTGCAGTCTCATCCCCTTGGGCTGAAGCGATCCTCCTACCTCAGCCTCCTGAGTAGCTGGGATTACAGGTATCCGCCACCACGCCTGGCTAATTTTTAATTTTTTGTAGAGATGGGGTCTGACCACATTGCCCAGGCTGGTCATGAACTCCTGGGCTCAAGTAATCCTCCTGCCTCAGCTTACCAAAGTGCTGGGATTATAGTGTGAGCCACAGTGCTTGGCCATTTTTGCTGCTGCCAACCCCTTTTTGGCAGAGTATCCCTCTGTCGCCCAGGCTGAAGTGCAGTAGCATGATTATGGCTCACTGCAGCCTCAACCTCCCAGGATCAAGTGACGCTCCCGAATAGCCTCCAAAGTAGCTGAGACTGCAGGCATGTGCCTCCATGCCCGGCTAATTTTTAAAATGTTTTGTAGAGGTGGGGTCTCTCTACGTTGCCCAGGCTAGTCTCAAACTCCTGAACTCAAGATATCCTCCTGCCTGGGTCTCCCAAAGTGTTGGGATTACAGGTATTGCCTAACCTTCTGCCCATTTTAAATTGGGTTTTCTGTTGTTGACAGGGAGATCTTATTTGATAATAATTTAAATAATATTACTTTTAATATTAATAATTTTAAAGAAATATTTTTGAAATATGTATTTTAAATGTTATATAAAATGCATTTCAAGTATAAAATATACACTGTGCTCTCCCAATCAGAATGGAGTGGACTTTATTTGAACACCTACAGATAACAATATTGTCATTATAAATTAGGAAACTGAAATTTAGAAAAGATGAGCACCTTATCCAATAGGACACTGAATTTTTCAATACTACCCTCAGAGATCACTGAACTGTAGCCTGTTTTTGTCTAGGCTTAACCAGGGAAGAAGTCACTTTCGATCTTACCCAAATGGTTAACACAATCTATTTCCTGTGGCTGGGGAGCTGAGGGCTCCAGCTTCTTGCTGACTATTGGCTGCAGTCCTCCCTTAGCTCCTAGAGGCCTCCTGCAGTTCCTGTCCCCATGTTTCTCCTCAACATGTGCACTTCATTAAACCAAGGAGAGCCTAGAGCTAGTCTGCTAGGAAGATGGAGTCTTATATAGTGTAACATAATCATGCAGCTACATTTCATCACCTTTGCCATTTTCTATTGCTGTGAAGCAACTCACAGGTCCCAGTCATAATCAAGGGGATGATACAGTAGAAAATGACAAAGGGCATGACTACTAGGTCACCAGGGTGGCAGATTGTATTTTTCAAAAACAGCCACATCAATATTCTCTGACATGCTCTTCTAGAACCTTGTTACTTTTTATCAACAATTTCCTCTGCTTCCCTGTCACTGAACTTGGGTCACACACTGTGATACAGCTTGCCTGGCTCTCTCTTTGGGGATACTTGCCCTTAAAACTCAACCTCCATGATCTGAGACAGGCCAAAACCGCCCTTATGGAGAGATCACATGGAGAGGTTCACGTGATCAGGAATAGAGCCTCAAACAACAGCCAGCATTAACTTTCAGCCGTGAGCTTTCAAATAATTCCTGTCCTGAGCCTGAATCTTTCAGCTAAGGCCTTAATCATTGTGGAGCACAGAAAAGCCAGTTTTTCTAAGCCCTGTGCAAATTCCTGACCAATAAACAAGCATAATAAATGGTTGTTTCATGCCACTAAATTTTGGGTTGATTTGTTACACAGCCATGGTAATTGGGACAACATGTTAATAGAATAAAGGAGAAAGAACCCACAATTATCTCAATAGATGCAGAAAAAGCACTTGACAGAGTCCGACATTTATTAATGATTAAAAATTCCAGCAAATTAAAAATCGAAGGGAACTTTCTTAATCTGACAAAGAGTTAATACATAAAACTTACTGCACACAGTGTATTAATTGGTGAAGTGTTGACAGTTTTTCTCTATCATCACTTCTATTCATTACATTGAAAGTTTCTGGCTAACTGAAAAAATAAAAGGAATAAGAATTAGAAAGAAGAAATAGAACTGCCTTTAGTGGCAGATTACATGCCTATAAAGAAAACCTGAGATTATTATCATTAGGATTCAGTGAGTTTGGTAAGGCTGTTGGACACTGGAGCAACATTAAAAAAATCAATTTTATTTCTATTTGACAAAAGATAATCAAAGTCTGGGCACAGTGGCTCATGAGTGTAATCCCAACACTTTGGAATGCCAAGGCAGGAGAATCACTTGAGCCTAGGAGTTCAAGACCAGCCTGGGCAAAATAGTAGACTCCGTCTTCTACAAAAACATTAAAAAATTAGCTGGGTCCATGTGGTGTGCACTTGTAGTCCCAGCTACCTTGAAGGAGGTCGAGGCTATAGTCAGCTGTGATTGCACCACTGCACTCCAGCCTGGGCAACAGAGCAAGACACCATCTCTTAAAAGAGAGAATAATTAACAACTGAAAATTTAGAAGCTACTATTTGTAATAGCATCAAACATACTGCTTAAAAATAAATATTACATAAAAAGTATGAAACTCTTAAACCAAAACAACAGAATAGAGCAATAGAAAATCTAAATGGAGAAATATACTACATTCATAGATCAGAAGACTAAATTTCAAGATGTTACTCTCCTTCAAAATGATATATAAATTCAAGAAAATCACAATCGAAATTGTAATTGTGTGCATATGTGTAAGTGTACTTGTGTGTAAGTTGGTAAGCTGGTTCTAAAATTTTTTGGAAATGCAATGATACAAGAATATCAAAAAAGGAGAACAGGGTTAGAGAACTTTCTCATTAAGATACTGATATGTATGATAATACTAGAGTAATTAAGAGTGTGGTATTGGAAAATGGAGAAACAAACAGGCTGATAAAACAGAATACAGACCCCAGAAATAAACTCAGTTATATACACGGACACTTGATTTACAGCAAAGATGGCAGTGAAGTGCGCTAGACAAAATAAAATGTCTTTTCAACAAATGGTGCAGGAACAATCTGTAGGTAGAGGAATGAAACCTGACTCCTACCTCACACTACACATAAATATCTATTCCAGATCTCTTTTAGATCTAAATTTAAAAGGCAAAGCATTTAAAATGTAACACAGAATATATTCATGAACTTGGAGTACGGACTTCTTAAACAGAACACAAAGGCTGGGTGCAGTGGCTCACACCTATAATCCCAGTACTCTGGGAGGCTGAGGTGGGTAGATTACTTGAGGTCAGGAGTTTGAGACTAGACTGGCCAACATGGTGAAACCCTGTCTCTATTAAAAATACAAAAATGGGAATGGTGGTGGACATCTATAAATCCAGCTACTCGGGAAGCTGAGGCAGAAGAATCACTTGAACCCAGGAGGCAGAAGCTGCAGTGAGCTGAGATTGTGCCACTGCACTCTAGCCTAGGCTACAGTGCAAGGCTCCGTTAAAAAAAAAAAAAAAGTCAGTAGAAAATGATTTAAAAAAACCCTACAACACAAAAAGCACTAACTATAAAGGAAAAGAATAATATATTTCTCTAGTTTAAAATTAAGAACTTCTCAAGAGACACCACTAAGTGTATGACAAAGCAAGTCAGAGTGGGACAAGCTGTTTGCCACAGGTATAACTGACAAAGGAGTCAGATCCAGAATATATGAAGAACACCTAGGAATCGATTAGAAAAGAATACTTGCAAAGGCATTTCATAAAAGAGGAAATGGCCTATAGTAATATGAAAAGGTGCTCAACCCCACTAATAACTAGGGAAATGCAAAATGAAACCACAATACTATTTACATACTCACCAAAATGGCCAAACTGAATGAAGAACGCTGAAAATACCAACTGCTCAGAACAGATGAGAACTTGCCAGGGAGTCTTTGGAATATACAGTTGTTCAATATATATTGTTAGACTTTTGCTTTTCTTTTAGTGCATATTTTATGCAGGTATGTTTTTCATTCCCATTCAGAGTCAGACCATTTGTATCTTCTGGTAGGTTTCTCTTGTGATCCCTGAAAAAAAACCAATGCTTACTGAGTATTGCAAATCCTATGCCCACATTTACAAACACTATACGTATTAGAGTATTGCTAATACCATACTATTCATTCACTATTGTCCAAAGATTATCCAACTAGAATCTAAAATTCTATGACATTTCCTGGTTTGGAAATGCTTCAATTTTGTTACTTCTATGAAGGAAGGTTCTCCCCAAATATTTCACTATTGGCTGCAGAAACATCTGGAATGACGACTAAGAAATTACCTTGCTCTCTCTTTAAAAGGAGACTTCCAAGAGTCATATTGTAGCATGGTGCCACCTGGTGGTTCCACTGTATCCACTATATTTTTTTTCTTCTACCATCTCTCCCCCTTTAAGCCCTTTTCTTGTTTCTCCTCTTCCCAGGTTCATCTGCCACTACATTCCACATTAGACAGCAGCACAGTTAACACTTCCCCATGGCCAATTCCGAACCTATGTCGAGTTTTACAAAATGAGATAAAGCACCTCTCCATATGTTTATTAGATCATTTTCTCTTTTATGAAGTGCTTCTTTAAGGTTTTTGCCCATTTTTCTATTGGGTGTTCCTTTTCTTTGGTATATATACCTGGACACCTGTCTTTTGAAGGTTATATGAATAAATATATTTTCCAACTCTACAGGCTTTTTATTCTTGTAAATGGTGTTTTTTTTGGTGAATATATTCTAGTATAGTCAAATATATCAATCACTTCCTTTAGAGTTACATTTTCTTTTATCTAAGATATCCTGGCCAGGCCCCTGTAATCCCAGCACTTTGGGAGGCTGAGGTCAGGAGTTTAAGAACAGCCTGGCCAACGTGGTGAAACCGTCTCTACTAAAAAAAAAAAAAAACATACAAAAATCAGCCGGGCGCAGTGGCGCACACCTGTAATCCTAGCTGCTTGGAAGGCTGAGGCACGAGAATCGCTTGAGCCTGGAAGGTGGAGGTTGCAGTGAGCCAAGATAGTGCCACTGCACTCCAGCCTGGGTGACAGAGTGAGACTCTGACTCAAAAAAAAAAAAAGTCTTTATCACTTCTGAGATTTTGTTATGCAACTTCGTTATTTCTTCTGTAAGTGTTCAGTAGAACTTACCAGTAAAGTCATCCAAGACTGAAGTTTTCTTTGTGGAAAAGCTTTTAAAGAAGATTTAATTTCTTTAATAGATGACTATGAAGTTTTCTATCTTGTTATAGTTTTGGTAAGCTGTGTTTTCTATGAATTTGTATATTTCATGTACATTTTACTTATTCAAATGTCTTCATATCTCTCTAATTACTTTGTAATTATAATAATTCTGGCTGAGGTGGGTGGGTCACAAGGTCAAGAGATCGAGACCATCCTGGCTAACACGGTGAAACTCTGTCTCTACTAAAAATACAAAAAGTTAGCTGGACATGGTAGCATGTGCCTGTAGTCCTAGTTACTCAGGAGACTGAGGCAGGAGAATTGCCTGAACCCGGGAGGCAGAGGTTGCAGTGAGCCAAGATCACACAACTGCACTCCAGCCTGAGCAAGACAGTGAGATTCCGTCTCAAAAAAAAAAAAAATATATATATATATATATAAAAAATAATTCTTTGATTGGGTGCAGTGGCTCATGCCTGTAACGCTAGCACTTGGGGAGGCCGAGGTGGAAGGATTACTTGAGCTCATGAAATCAAGACCAGCCCGGGAACATAGTGATATCTCATTTCTCTTTAAAAAAAAAAAAAAAAAAAAAAAAAAAAAAAAAAAAAAAAAGGTAGCCGGGCACACCTGAAATCTCAGCTACTCAGGAGACTGAGGTGGGAGGATCACTTGAGGTTGAGACTGCAATGAGCTATGACTGTACCACTGCACCCCAGCCTGGGCAACAGAACAAGATCCTGTCCCCACTCCCCAACCAAATAATTCTTTTCCATCTCCAACACTGGTTAGTTCTGCTACTTTTTCCCTTGATCATTTTCACCAAGGATTTACCAATTATTTTTTCAAAAAGCAATTCTCATGCCTCAGCCTCCCGAGTAGCTGGGACTACAGGCGCTCGCCACCACGCCTGGGTAATTTTTTGGTAGAGATGGGGTTTCACCATGTTGCCTAGGCTGGTCTGGAACTCCTGATCTCAGCTGATCCGCCTGCCTCGGCCTCCCAAAGTGCTGGGATTACAGGCATGAGGCACCATGCCTGGCCAAAGAACCTACTTATTGTTTAATATTTTGTAAGTTATATATTCTTATTAATTTCTACTGTTCCATTACTTTAACTTGCTGTTCTTATTCTACTTCCTTGAGAGTGCTTAATTTTTAACCTTTCTTCTTTTCTAATATATACACTTAAGGCTATAAACTTCCCTTTAAGTATGGCCTTAGTCATATCCAAAAGGTTCTGATATTCATATTTCCATTTCAATTCAGTTCAAAATAATTTCAGTTTTCCACTGGATTTGGAGGTACATTTCTTCCAAATTTCATAATTTGTATTTAGTTCTGCTGTAATCAGACTGCCTTCTCTATATGATTTAAGCCCTCTGAAATTTAATACTAAGTTTCTTTATGGCCTAACATTTATTCAACTTTAATGATTCATGTTCATCTGTAAATAATATATATTTTGCAGTTATTGATACAGTGTTCTACATAGGCCCATTAGATAAAGTTTGTTCACCATGTTGTTCCAATCTCCTGTCTCCTTACTGATTTGGTGGGAAGGGGTGTGTGTGTGTGTGAGCTTCTATTATTTACTGAGACAGCTGTATTAAAATATTACATACAGACTTCTACTCTTGGTCAAGATGGAATACCTGTCACTCTATCCTCCTGCCTGAAGCAACTAAAAAAAAACTAAATGTATCTAAAACTATGTCACTTAAGACATGGGCCATCAGGCACTGAAGAACAGTTAACTGCTGACCGAACATGAAACAAAAAGAGGTAAGCCCTGCCACTGCCTGAGAATTTATTTCCTGAAGAACATTTCTAGGCCATAATGCAAGGGAGGGGAAACCCAGGCCAGAGTCCACCAATTTTTCCAGATTTTAAGACACAGAGGCGAGAGTCAGGGAGGCTAAAGTGGCTACAGTTCAACCTTTCATAAACTCTCCGAGGAATAGACAAAGAGGAAACAACTTCCAGCTCTTTCCACGAGGACATTTTTACATTAACACCAAAATCTGACAAGGGTATGAAAAGAAAGGAAAATTATACACCACCTCTCTCTTGAATACAGATGCAAAAATTCTAAATGAAATATTGCGGCTGGGCGTGGTGGTTCATGCCTGTAATCCCAGCACTTTGGGAGGCCAAGGTGGGCAGATCACAAGGTCAGGAGATGGAGACCATCCTGGCTAACACGGTGAAACCCTGTCTCTACTAAAAATACCAAAAATTCACCAGGCGTGGTGGTAGGCGCCTGTAGTCCCAGCTACACAGGAGGCAGCAGGAGAATGGTGTGAACCCGGGAGGCGGAGCTTGCAGTGAGCTGAGATCGTGCCACTGCACTCAGCCTGGGCAACAGAGCAAGACTCCACCTCAAAAAAGAAAAAAAAAAAGAAATATTGCAAAATAAATCCAGAGATACACAGAAATAATAACATGACTAAGTGGGAAGTTTATTCTAATAAAATGAATGGTGAAGTAGGAGGGTAGGGGTAGACAGGGAGGGAGGAACACTATGAAATACATTATTAATTCACTAGACTAACAGGTAAAATAAAAATAATTTGATCATCTCAACAGATTCCAGAAAAGCATTTGACATAATTCAACACCATATACTTTCTTAGCAAGGCATAAATAAAACTTCCTTAAACTCATAAATACCACCAAAATCCTACAGCAATCAGCATGCTTGATGGTGACATCCGAATGCGTTCTCGCTGAGATCAGGAACAAAGAAAGGAATTCCATACTGACCACTTTTTGAGACAGGGTCTCACTGTATCACCCAGGCTACAGTGCAGTGGTGTGATCACAGCTCAACCTCCTAGGCTCAAGTGATCCTTCTACCACCTCAGCCTTCCAAGTAGCTGGGACCACAGCTGCACACCAGCACGCCCAGCTAATTTTTTGTAGAGATGGGGTTTCACCATGTTGTCCATGATGGTCTCGAACTCCTGGGCTCAAATAGTCCTCTCACCTCGGCCTCCCAAAGTGCTGGGATTACAGGTGTGAGACACTGCATCTGGCCCATTCTGACCACTTCTATTCAACACCATACTGGGCATTTTGGCCAGTGCAACAAGACAAGAAAAGAAAGAAAATGCAAAATGACTAGAAATAAATAAGTTATTATGAACAGATGACAGGAGTATGCAGAAAATTCCAAGAGAATCTATAAATTGTTAGCATTAATAAATGAACTGAGCAAGGGTGCTAGATATAAGGTCATTATAAAAATCAAAAGTATTTCAATACTGTAGCAACAAACAGCAAACAATTACAGACCTGAACAGACCACAAAATGGTCCAAATGGTCAATAAGTATTTGAAAAGATGCTTAGCATTATTAGTCACTATTAAAATTTAAACCACAAGATACCAGTATATACTTACCAGAATGTCTGAAATGAGAATAATAATAGATTGTCCAGCCTTCTCCAGAGGCAGCCTCTGGGAGAGCCAGTTCTCATCTCTCAAGCGCTTCTTGGGGGTGGGAGGGGTTAAAGGAAGTGTATTTCTGGACCACCACATCCTTAACTGCAGGGACTGGATCTCTGACATCAGACATATATAGTAACTTGCATTTGTTTCCTCGAGTTGCTATAACAGATTACAACAAGTTGGGTGGCTTAAGACAACAGAAATTCATCATCTCACCGTTTTGGAGGCCAGAAATCCAAAATCAAGGTGTTGGCAGGGCACCATCTCCTCTAGAGGCTCTAGGTGAGAAACCCTTCCTTGCCTCTTCTAGCTCCTAGTAGCTGTCAACATTACTTGACTTGTGGCTACATCTCTCTCTGCCATCTTCATGTTGCCTTCTTCTGGTATCTTCCTTTCTCTCTTACAAGGGCACTTGTGATGGCATTTAGGCCCCACTCATAATCTCATCTCTAAATGCTTAATTACATCTGCAGAGACCATTTTTCCAAATAAAGCAATATTTACAAGTTCTCCAGGGATTAGGGCTTGATATTTGGGGTGTGTGTGTGTACATATATATACATCTATAATTTTTTTTTTCAGACAGAGTGTCGCTCTTGTCGCCCAGGCTGGAGTGCAATGGTGCGGTCTCGGCTCACTGCAACCTCCGCCTCCTGGGTTCAAGCAATTCTCCTATCTCAGCCTCCAAAGTAGCTGGGATTACATGACCCCGCCACCACATTTTTTGTAATTTTTGTATTTTTAGTAGAGACGGGGATTCACCATGTTGACCAGGCCGGTCCTGAACTCCTGACCTCGTGATCCGCCCACCTTGGCCTCCCAAAGTGCTGGGATAACAGGCGTGAGCCACCAGGCCCGGTGGAGAAATACATTTTCTTTTTTTTTTTTTTTTTTTTTGAGACGGAGTCTTGCTCTGTCACCCAGGCTGGAGTGCAGTGGCCAGATCTCAGCTCACTGCAAGCTCCTCCTCTCGGGTTCACGCCATTCTCCTGCCTCAGCCTCCCGAGTAGCTGGGACTACAGGCACCCGCCACTTCGCCCGGCTAGTTTTTTGTATTTTTTTAGTAGAGACGGGGTTTCACCGTGTTAGCCAGGATGGTCTCGATCTCCTGAACTCGTGATCCGCCTGTCTCGGCCTCCCAAAGTGCTGGGATTACAGGCTTGAGCCACCGCACCCAGCCGAGAAATATATTTTCTAAATA